AGTTGCCGCCATGTGATTGGCTGATTAGAAATTAAGTGTTAACGAGCAGTTGGACAGGTGTACCTAATAAAGTGGCCGGTGAGTGTATATCATTTATATGCACATGAGCAGGTTCATATTGATGTTTTACGTAGATGACTAAATGTTAATAAAATGTCCTCCTGAGTTAGAAAATTAGATTTTTTTTATGAGACAAATTTTTATTTTTGTAATAGTCAAATTAACTAATGTTGATAATTTCAGCAGTTTCACTCCGGCGTCTGTTTTAATCAAATATATTATTTTTATGCCTAATTTTGATCCAAATTAATAAGTAAAAATTTAGCAGTTTTTGGTCAAGATTTACGGTTATGTTTGAATTTTCAAATTTAATGTGTTTTTTCCTTTACATAAATCTATGTGCTGGAGAAGAGAACTAAATAAGCAAAAACTGATTTTTAAAAGAACAGTTTCCTAACATATCATCTGTACTTTGTGCTGCATGAATATTTCATTCTCAGTCCTAGCCTTTATAATGAATATAGTATTAAAAACTTCAAAAACTGAGTGAAATCTGCAAACATCATGGGCACAAACTCAAATGACCTGATTATGAGGTATAATGGCCTGAACGTGCCCTGAGATTAATGAGGTTAATCTGCTGCCCTGCTAATTAATGCACGTAATCCTTTGTTTTGCTTCTTTTAATTTTCCAAAAGAGATGCGTTTGATTCAGCCAGGTTTAAATGTTTCAGCTTCCAACTCTTTGCTCAAACTTTACAATCCGGTCTAACAAAACTCAATGTGTCATCCGTTTCTGTTCAAACCAGCATTTACTGTAATATAAGTAGCAGTTTGCAGGTTTTATCTGCTCAGAACGGGAGCGAAAAGGTCGAGTCAGAAAAAAGACGTGAGATTAGGAGAAAACTTCAGATGAGAACGTGTCACGAAGTCTTGAACAGAGCTCAAGGGGGAAACGTCTGAAAGGCTAAAGAGACCATGGAGCAAAGTTTCCATTGAGTTAATGCAGGAGCAACAAGTTTAATAAGGCAGATTCTTTAAATATTTAATGTGTGAATTTCTTTAAAGTAGAAAGAAAGGCAGGATTTTTTAATATTTCAGCCTGTTGTCTCTGCACACAGGGATTTACAAAGCAAAGAAACAGCTGTTTGGATCACTGCATGTAGGAGGATATGAATGCTTCTTCAATTGTGATTGAAGCCCAACCTTATTTTTCTTCTTTTTTTCCTCCCAGGGTGCAGTGTTTCTTGAAGGCATCTCAGTGAAAGGGGTCACACAGGTCACCAGCCAACCCAAGCTGGGAGATGTCCAAAGGAGGTGTCAGGAGATGGCCGAGTGGGACAAGTAAGGCGCTCCTTAATTGCCCTCCTTACGCCCGTCGGGATTTGTGTATAAGGATGTATGTAGGTGTGCTGTGCTGGGAGTGACTCATCTGTCTCAACTATCTTTTTAAAGAGCTTCACACTTTCAGACAGGTGGTAAAGTCAGAAATAGATTTTTCCTTTAGGTTTTCTAGAAAAATGCTGCTGCTGCTGCTTTTTTCCTTCTTTCCACAGAAAGTGCAGAGATTCAGCTCCACTGCAGTGTTTTATCACAGCAAATACAAAGACTTGACTTTTATGTTTGTTTTACATTTGGTTGTGCATTAAAATCAAAAAATTATAACCTGTGAAGCATTATCTAGAAATATAGGTAACGCTTTCTTTTACGGTACCCTTATTACCATGTAATTACAAGGTAATAAAAAAGTAATTGAATGTAATTACTACCTTTTTACCACGTGGTAATTAGGGTACAATTTTTCTATGTAATTAATTGTCTGCAGTAATGTAGCACTTACCTGGTAATGTATTACAATTCACTATGTAACAACTAAATAAGTAGTAGGTCATTTGGACAGTTTTAAAGTTACATTTTATTGCAATTAACCACTAACCCCAAAATTTAGTTACATTCTTTTTGTTATAAATATATTGTTGAGTTACTATTGATTAGTAATTTGATTGTAGTTACCCAATAAAAGTAGTTTTACTAACAGCAATTTTTCTTTTGTACCCTAATTACCATGTAATTACATGGTAATAAGGGTACTGTAAAAGAAAGCGTTACCGAAATATACTATTTTGGGGGGTGTTGAGTATTTAGAACCCAATTATAACCCGTCACATTCAACTGAGGAAATTAAAAGGAACATCAACTAGTTGTTAGACATGATTTGTTAAACATTTACTTCAGTAATAAAACACAGACAGTAGTGACACTTGAGTAAAAGTACAAGTATCATAAAATTAATTTGGTAAAAAAGTCTCCTAAGAAGTAAAAGTCTTAAAGTATCTGAGTTTTTTTGTACTTAAATACTTAAGTACAAAAAAATGCATAAGTAATTTTCTGCCATAAAACATACTTAAGTCTTATAAGTAAAAGTACTGAGTAAATATGAGTGGTTAGATGTTCCAAAATACATTCATTGGGAGGTGACCTCTCCAAAAAAAAATATATATTTTTTAAAAACATGCAGCTGTGATGGATTGTGTAAAAATTAATACAGTATCAGAATGGTATACATTTATACTTCTCATCCAGCTACAATTAAATTAACTCTATTCAGGATGCACAATTTTTAGGATAGTATTTTTTTTAACACTAAGCCTAAACAAAATAGGAGAAATGACGCTTACCTTTTTTTTAAAAATGTAAGGAGTAGAAAGTACAGATAACTATGTAAAAATGTACGGAGTAAAAGTAAAAAGTAGGCTGAAAAATAATTACTCAAGTAAAGTACTGATAACCAAAATTTCTAATTAAGTACAGTAACAAAGTATTTGTACTTTACAACTCTGGCCAGCAGTGTTAAGAACTGAGCATGGGAACAAAAAAAAGTGATGTCATTGTTGTTACAGGTCTGGATTTCCCGGGGCACAGCCCGTGTCCATGGACAGACAGAATCTTCGATTTCTCGAGCAGAATCCTTACAAAGTCAGCTGGAAAGCTGATGGTACACGGTGAGTCGATCGGATCCTCCTAACAGCAGATTACTGAACCACGTGTCGATACAATCTTTGGGTCTTTGATTAGACAAATTTGTTTCTCTTTCTATTGATTTAGACCTATTTGAGTCGATGCATAGACAAGTATTTACCTCCCTTTGTGCAGGCTTGAATTTAAATTTAATCTTATGTGAGCAAATAAAACAAGTTGGTGTAGAAACCTTCATAATTGTGTCTTTTTTAGCTCTTGGCAGCAATGAGAGGCAGTAATACATCCAAGAAGGGCAGCAAACATGCTTAATTCACTGCAGGTTGGTAAATTTCGGCTGGAAACCTCCTTGGAGCCACAGACTGCTGCAGTGAAAGAGAAAGAACAAAGAGGAAATAAATTCAACAGTAAAATGACCAGGCTTCAAGGTCACCTGAGCCTAATTATAGGTTCTATTAAAAAAAGTAACGTTTTACCCCCAATTCTAGTAGTTCTGCGCCAAAAACATCAACCTGGAGGGTTTGATTTCACAGAACGTGACCCTGCTGGGTGCGACCTCAGTGCGTTATTCAGGGTTCCAAAACACTAAACCTGAAGTTAATCCTGCACCCACGGGAGCTGAGTGCTCTTTTACCATAGAATACAAGCAAGGAATTAAGGACGCGATTGAGCCCGGTGATTAAAAGCTTTGTACGTGAGGAGAGCTCTGAAAGGAATTCTAACATGACCTATGTTTCCTGATTAAGTTTTAATTACAGTATCGAGCTCATCAAGCAGAGTGCCGCTTGTTTTAGCAGTGTGGACGTGTAAATTAGCTTCACTGATGCATGAACACTGTCGGTGACCAGTCTCTCCTCCACAGCGAATAACAAGACGCCACTTGTTCTTTCCTGACACATTCTGTTGTGAATTTGCTTTGTTTTTTTTTTTGTCTCCCATGCGTGATGTGAACGCTGCGAGGGGAAGAGAGGAGGGTTTTTAGTATTCTGGTAGTCTGTTGAGAAGCTCCGTCTTCTCTGGCTGGTGCAAATGTGCATGTGCTGATGAATATTTAATGACTGCAGTCAATTTCAGGGTTTTACATATCGGCGCTTTAATTTCCGGTAATCGTGAGGCTGAGAGAGAACTGATCTGGCTCCTGACCAAGACGCTGCTAATGTGTGTAATTAGCTGCTGTTATCAGCAAATGCTCCAGCATGTTGTTCAGAGTTTTGGCCTTTAAGTTTGGAATGTGTGACTCCGAGCACCTCCTCTGTCGCCGAAATAGTTTTTGACGTGCAACCTGTTTCTTCCCTGCAGCCAGTGGAGCTATGAAGGGTAGCAGTGCTGCGTGTGATTTATTCTAACAGGAAATACTGACGTAAAGCGAGGCACTGCAAACTGTGAGTGAGTCATCACCGAGGCTCGGGATGTGCATTATGATGTACAAATCCAAAAGTTCCTCCTCACCTGTAAGTGCTACATCTGGAGTGAAGTGGCATAAGTTAAAATCAGCAATCAAGAGAACAAATCAAAAGAAAGGAAAACGTAAGGACCGAATGCAACAAGGTTTCTCCAAAATTTGTCAAAAATGTTGAAAATTTACTTCGATTGTTTGATCTCAACCCGAACATCAGATCTCAGGTTTAAAACTTTGACTTTTACAAATTGTGTTTAAAGGAATTTTTCAGATATTTCCAAGTGGAGTTCTGGGAAAAGCTTATAAAAAATCAATATCGTACCTGTTGTAGATAAAATTTTAAATGATCTCAGTTTCAATAAGTGGAGGTACAGTGGGGAAAATAAGTATTTAGTCAGTCACCAATTGTGCAAGTTCTCCCACTTAAAAAGATGAGAGAGGCCTGTAATTGACATCATAGGTAGACCTCAACTATGAGAGACAAAATGTGAAAAAAAAAATTGAGAAAATCTTTTTGTCTGACTTTTAAAGAATTTTTTTGCAAATAATGGTGGAAAATAAGTATTTGGTCACCTACAAACAAGCAAGATTTCTGGCTGTCACAGACCTGTAACTTCTTTTTTAAGAGGCTCCTCTTTCCCCCACTCATTACCTGTATTAATGGCACCTGTTTAAAGTCGTTAACAGTATAAAAGACACCTGCCCACAACCTCAAACAGTCACACTCCAAACTCCACTATGGTGAAGACGAAAGAGCTGTCGGAGGACACCAGAAACCGAATTGTAGACCTGCACCAGGCTGGGAAGACTGAATCTGCAATAGGCAAGCAGCTTGGTGTGAAGAAATCTACTGTGGGAGCGATAATCAGAAAATGGAAGACATACAAGACCACTACTAATCTCCCTCGATCTGGGGCTCCACGCAAGATCTCAGCCCGTGGGGTCAAAATGATCACAAGAACGGTGAGGAAAAATCCCAGAACCACAAGGGGGGATCTAGTGAATGACCTGCAGAAAGCTGGGACCAATGTTACAAAGGCTACCATCAGCAACACACTACGACGCCAGGGACTCAGATCTTGCAGTGCCAGACGTGTCCCCCTGCTTAAGCCAGTCCATATCCAGGCACGTCTGAAGTTTGCTAGAGAGCATTTGGATGTTCCAGAAGAGTATTGGGAGAATGTCATATGGTCAGATGAAACCAAAGTAGAACTATTTGGTAAAAACACAACTCGTCGTGTTTGGAGGAAAGTGAATGCAGAGTTGCATCCAAAGAACACCATACCAACTGTGAAGCATGGGGGTGGCAACATCATGCTTTGGGGCTGTTTCTCTGCAAAGGGACCAGGACGACTGGTCCGTGTACATGAAAGAATGAATGGGGCCATGTATTGTGAGATTTTGGGTGCAAACCTCCTTCCATCAGCAAGGGCAATGAAGATGAAACGTGGCTGGGTCTTTCAGCATGACAATGATCCCAAGCACACTGCCAGGGCAACAAAGGAGTGGCTTCGTAAGAAACATTTCAAAGTCCTGGAGTGGCCTAGCCAGTCTCCCGATCTCAACCCCATCGAAAACCTTTGGAGGGAGTTGAAAGTCCGTGTTGCCCGCCGACAGCCCCAAAACATCACTGCTCTAGAGGAGATCTGCATGGAGGAATGGGCCAACATACCAGCAACAGTGTGTGCCAACCTTGTGAAGACTTACAGAAAACGTTTGACCTCTGTCATTGCCAACAAAGGATATACAACAAAGTATTGAGATGAACTTTTGTTATTGACCAAATACTTATTTTCCACCATTATTTGCAAAAAAAATTCTTTAAAAGTCAGACAAAATGATTTTCTCAAATTTTTTTCACATTTTGTCTCTCATAGTTGAGGTCTACCTATGATGCCAATTACAGGCCTCTCTCATCTTTTAAAGTGGGAGAACTTGCACAATTGGTGACTGACTAAATACTTATTTTCCCCACTGTATATAGTAGAGATGTGCTTTAATTATTTTAATTCAGTGATTCCCAACCAGGGGTACATGAGCATATTACAGGGGGTACGGGTAAAAATTTCCCAGGTGTGTAAAGAGAAAATAAAAATAGGACTGAGATATGTAGGGCCCTATGATTTCCACAATGCGGAAAATGCAAACAGAGTCACAAAATTGACACAAAATGAAATCCTGTGTAAAATGCAGACTCGTGGAATTTGCTCATTTGGGGTATTTGATGTATTTTGGACGCTGCTGTTTCCTGCACCTGCTTTTACCTGGTTTATTTATTTAATTATTCACTTTCAAGGCAACATTTTTATCTTTATGTTTAATTTGTTTTGAAAAGAATAAAATACCTGAGAATTAAATATTCTAGGGGGTTAAATAAACAATTTTCAGCTGTTGTACATTATAGTTTTGGAGAATCATCATTACCTTTGACAGAGGGAGCACTAGTGGTACGACAAAATGGCTCAGGGGGTACACAAGTCTAAAAAGGTTGGGAACCATTGTTTTAATTCATCTAGCTATTTTTTTCATCACCACTATCTAGAACAGGTAAGATATTTACTGTTTATAACCTTTCCATAGAACCCCACTTTAAAGCATTTCAACTATTTTTAAGAGGAAAAGCTGTTTGTTTTAATTACCATTATGAAATCATAGAGAAATAACACAAAAAGTGTTTATTGTCCAAAATGTGCATCTTGTGTAACTTGGGTTTTACATGAATAGGTACTTTTCCCTGACTCTTGTAGAATCTCAGGAAGTTTCTGAGGTTAGTTGAACTACAAACACACAACATCAGCCTCAACATGTCAGCTTTTCGTTCTGAGATGCTTTGATTTGCAAGTCGACAAACTGGGACAGGTGTCTTTGTTTTGTTCCGTTTCTGTGGTTACAGCATCCTGTTTGGGATGCAGCTTTTTAGTTTTGCATCTCATTTGAGTAAACAACATCACACTTTAACAATAATGCAGAAGGTGCGCGGTACGTGCATCATTGTCTTTATAAATAAATAAAATGTATCTGCGGCGTGATTTGGAAGAGCTTTTAAAAGTCGCCTCTTTTCAGTCTGTGAAGGACGTCTTGTTCATTCGGATGGTTTTATTATCCTTCAGAGCCGAGCAACAAATGGCATCTATTTAAAAGCTTCTTTTGTGCAAAATGTATTTATACATAAGTTTACTATGACAAGCAGATCTCTCAGAAACTTATCCTATCTTTATAACTTATAGACAAGACATGAAGTCGGCTGTTTGATGATGTGAAAAGATTCCGATTGTCTGCCTTTATTTACCAGCAACTTCCCTGTAGAAAAATCAATATTAATATATTCCTTCACAAAAGACATCTCTTTAAAATCTGAGTCTGCTGAGTTGCTCTTATTTTACCTTTGCTTTTTTTGCTGGCCTTTTTTGATACTTTTAGCCTTTTGATATGTAGCTTTCAGCTAGTGTTTTGATATTAGCTTTTTGGTTCTTTTAGGCTACGTTCACACTGCAGGTCTTAATGCTCAGTTCCGATTTTTTGAAAAAATCCGATCTTTTTGTGTGAACGTTCAC